CAGCACTTTGGAAGGGTGAGGTGAGTGGACTGCATGAGCCCGCGGGTTCGAGACCCACCTGGGCAACTTGGCGAGACCTCATCTCTACAATAAATCAAAAAATTAGCCGGGCATGGTAGCACGCGCCTGTAGTTCCAGCTACTTGGAAGGCTGAGGTGGAAGGATCGCCAGAGCCCAGCAGGTCGAGGCTGCGGTGGCCAGGAGCGGCCACTGCACTCCAGTCTGGGTAACAGAGTGAGACTCCAACTCAAAAAAAAAAGAAGAATGGCCAAAATCCTGAACACTGACATCATCAAGTGTTGACAAGGATGTAGAACAACAGGAACCCTCACTGCTGGTGGGGATGCAAGATGGGGCAGACACTGTGAAGGATAGATCGGTGCTTTCTTACCATATTAAACATCTTCTTACCACACAACTCGGCAACAGTGCTCCTTGGTTTTTATCCAAAGTTGGTAAAAACTTATGTCCATACAAAAGTCTGCACAAGTTTTTTATAGCAGCTTTACCCCTAATTGCCAAGATTTAAGCAACCAAGATGTCCTTCAGCGACTGAATAGATAAACTGTGGCCCATTCAGACACTGGAATGTTACTCAGCACTGGCTCCACCCTCTGTGGGGACTCCTGCCCTCTGGAGGCCTGCATGCCTGGGCTGGATAGGCTGCTCCCTGCCCCCACCTGTGTCCTCAGCCACAGAGTGACTGATTCTGGAGCCTGCCCCTGAGTACATCCACTCAGTGGACACAAGTCAAGAGGTGACTCCTTCGAGCTTTTGGGTTTATGCCCTGCAGACTGTGAGCCCTCAACATGCAGTATCAGGAGTGGAAGGTGTCACAGGAGTTACTGATGAGGGGTACAGCCCCCTCAGGCCGTATCAGCACTCAAGAACCGGGAGAGGCTGCGGTGTGGAGTGGACAGCAGGAGGGCTGGAGGCAGCAGCCCAGGTTGTTCTTGCCCTAGATTGGGCATTTGGCCGGAAAAGGAGGGGTGCATCTTCAAGGTGAGGGTGCAGGAAGGTGGCTTGAGCAAGTGATGGTGGGGACCTCACACAGGGCATGATGGGGGTGGACCAGGTACAGGGGGTGGGCCCAGTGTGAGCAGAAGGGCATGTGGGTGTGGCCAGGGGCACCGCATAGCAGGAGACAGGTATCCTGGGGATGGGCCTGATACAGAGACCTACTAACTTCCATCCATATTGTCACAGCCCCTAGAGACAGGCATAGCAAGGATTCAAGTGCTCCTGCACATTCTTGAGCACATTACTGAGAGTCCCCTTATCTCCTATGCACTCCCAGTAAGTAGCTTCAGGGGATCCTTGACTTCTCTGTAGACTGTGCCCAATCAACTGAAAGATGCAAATCCCTGTTTACTCCCTTTTTCTGAGTGGTTATAGGTTTGAATAATATAGTACCAATGTAATCATATACCTTGTGATTCGTATAACTTTTGTATCAACGTAATCATAAGTTTTGTGATTTGTGTAACTTTTGCATAATGCATGTTGTCTTAGGCCTTATAAACTCTCTTTATTCCATGGCAAGCTTGATTAACGCTTCTGCCAGGCCAACCGATAAAAGCTGTGAGACACCTCTCACACCTGGCACTAGGAAGTCTGGACCAAAAAATGACCCTATTGATAAATACGGTTGAAACTCAAGTTATGTACAATGCTCTGCAGGTCACATGGCTGATGTAAAGGAACTTACAATGCTGGACTTATAAAAGTGAACTATAAAAGCCTGGAGGTAAGCAGAACCATTTTAGAAAGACCTCAAGTCCAGCTCTGCTCCCTGAATTCGAACTCAGAAATAAACTCCTTTCTACCAGTTCCCTTCCCCCTTGATTTATTGGTATCAAGGGCAAGCAGCTGAGCATTACTCAGACCATAACAGGCCCAGCATGAGTGAAAGAGCATGTAGGTGTGGCTGTGGGCACCACATGGCAGGAGACAGGTGGCAGGGGTGGGCCCAGCCTGAGCGGAAGGGCACATGGGTGTAGCCATCAGCATCATGTGGCATAGAGCACATGCATGGAAAGATATATCCCAAGGGTGGGCTTTAGGAGTGGACCCTTTGCAACAGCACCTAGACCGAGAAAGAAGCGCCCTCAAACCCAGCACATGTACCCCTCTAGCAATGCCCCCAGGGGACCAGGGCCTGACTCTCAGAGCATTCTAGGCTCTGCCTCTGGAGCCGGGTGTTCCCAAGGATGCGTGGTGTGGATGCCACCTGCCTCCTTGGGTGTGCACAGTTCCTGCAGCCCTAGCTGGACGACAGCATCAGAGAGGACCCAGGAAGGGAATCCAGCCCTGGGGAAGAGAAGTGGCTGGAGCTCCCAGTAAGCAGGCAAGGTCACATGTGTGGAGCCCTCTCCCTGCCCGTGGGTGGGAGTGCCTCTGACCCAAGCCTTGGGTCAAGGTAGGGGCAGAGGCTGTTCTTACTGACCTCTTATCCTCTGGCAGCCTGCAGGACCCTCAGAGTCTCAAAGGTATCACCCTGCCACACTGCGATCCTGCTCTTATAGCCTCAGAACCGTGAAGAATGAACCTACCACTCAGAAGCCCCCGTCTGTGGCCCTGGCTGACTGACGGAACAGATGAAGCAGCCAATGCCCCTACTAGCCTCTGGGAGCCTCATGACACGCTCAGAGCTTGCCATTATGAGATGCTTCTGATCTCAGGGACACCTTGGAGAGCCTTGGAGCCCCCAGGTCACACCTTGCAGGGACCAAGTACATGGAGGTGCCTGAGGAGCCTGGGACCCGGCTGGCACTGCTGCCACAGGTGCTTTTACAGATCTGATTCTCATCACATTCTGTTCCAAGAGACAGACACACAGACTATGAAAAGTATTTTTATTTTAAATCAAAGTACCAAGCAGATACTTGCAAAACAACATACAAAGCAGAACTCAAACATGGCCCTGCCCCAGGGCCTCTGAGCAGGCCCAGGAGACATTCTTGCCTCCTGAAGGTCCAAATCCCATCCTGCCTCCTTGGAAAACCAAACTGAAGGCAGCCATGAAACACATTTGGTCTGTGGTTGAGACGCCTCCTTTCTAGACCCTGGCTGGCCCCTAAGGGGCAGGGCCAGGGAGTCCAGGGAGCCCTGTACCTCAGGAGCCAGCAGGACCCAGAGGAGTGCAGGGGCGTGTGTGTGGGAATGGGAGTGTGCTGATGACATCCTTCCCACCAGGGCAGCACAGGGACTGGAGTGCACTGACGACACCCTCCCCCGGGGCAGTATGGGGACAGGCTCACTGATGATGACATTCTCCCCCAGGGCAGCGCAGCTCCCAAGGACAGGCTGCCGAAGGGTCAGCAGCAGATGTCCCCAGGTGGCATCCCCAGAGCACTGGTAATGGCCTCCAGCCCAGTTGAACAGGCTGAGAGTCAATTCTGAAGCTGGTTGTGGCTTATCTTTTATGGCTCGGAAGTGAACTTCCTCTCCCAGTACCCTGACGGAACAAGGGGCAGGGGCAGAAAAGGACCAACCTTGCTCTTAAAAGAAAGGAAATGAACCCACAGCCCATGTGAAGTCCAGTCCAGCAGCGGCCATGAAAGCAGACAGCACACATGGCTGACAGGAAAGCCAGAAGGTGGCAGACACAGGCTCTGAGCTCGGTGGGGGCCCAGAGCCTTCCTGATGCCACAGGGTCACACGGCCACATGTAACAGGACTCACAACTAGAGTGAAATGGGTTCAAAAAAGGAGTATGTACACAAACACATAACCATCGTGCTGAAACCAGCCAACTACAAACAAAAATGTAACAGAAGAAAACAAAAGACAGAACCTCAGTAGCCTGACATGGAGTAGGGCCGGCGGGACAGGGCCCGGTCGCAACAAAGGTGCCAAGGTGGGTCTGGGGCACTATGGGACGGATGGATGGACAGCCAGTTGCTTCAGAGCAGTGAAGGGACAGTGGCCCCTCCCCTGCAGGGCCCTCAGAAGGGCCTGGGGCCAGCAACAGACCCACAGGAAGGTCTGGGGACGGCTGGTCCCTTAGGGTCATCCCGGGACACCTGCTGTAACCAGCAGGAGGTCTGGGCTCGCTGCTCCCTGAGATGTCTGCCTCAGGGCCCGGAGGGGCCCGTCTGGTATTCCTTGTGAGTCCAAAGTCAGAGCTGCCAACAGCTCCCAGCAGCCCTGACATGTTGGGCTCCCCTTTCACCCCTGGCCCTGACTGGATGGTCCCAGTCTCCCCAGTCACCCTGGGGCCCACCCTTGGAAAGGGACCACTGTGTGTTAGTCCAAGAGCTTCACAGGGCAGGGGGCTGAAAGCTGTTGTGGTAGCCCTGCCAGCAGGCTGCACACAGGCTACACTGAGCCCCCTAAAGCTGGAGAGCCCCGTGTGAATCTTGCACAACATCTTGTTTACATCCCTCCTCCAGAACCACAGCCCAGGGACACCCCTGGGACCTGAGCCCTGAGTGGGGCCGGCTCAGCAGAGGCCACCCAGGACCATGGGTACCCGGTCAGGTACATGTGCAGGAGTTGACAGGAGAGGCCTCCGCACTCAGCATCGTTTTGGTTGAAAATGCTATAAATCTGACTCTAGAAGCCTACTAAGCAATCACTTAAAAACATCCTCAGCGCAAGTGCAACAATGCCTGGACCACACTTCACCCACACCCCTGCCTGCCTGAGCACCTGCTGGGGCAGGGAGGTGGGTGCCCATCCAGACCTGTGCCCACCCTAGGTGTGCGTTCCCACACAGGCTGGAAAACAGCGCCAGCCACGCTAACCTACAGAAAACTGTGGGAAGAAACCAAATCCATAGGATCCATGGGTCTCACTTGGGTTGCGTCCCAAGTCGTGTGAGTAACGTCCCCCGGCAGGCTCGGTCCACAGGAGCCCAGCAGGAGTGCAGGCATGGCCCTCAGCAGCCGGGACCATGGCCCCGGCAGGGTCTGGGTGCCACCTCCCCCAGCCGCACCAGGCCTCCTGGTCCTCCACGCCTGGCTCCCGACAAGACCCAGTGTGTAAACAGGATTGACAAGCAACAGATGGAAAAATATACTTCCCAAGAAAAAAGGGGAGGAAGTCTGGGACTCGAAGACCGCCGTCTGGGTGGCCGTCATGGCTCTGTCCCCTTCTCTCGGCTCCTGATTTGTTTTGGCGATTCCTCTCTTTGGTTCACAGCCCACATGCCCACCTGCCCACGCCAGTCCCGTGGCCTCCGCACTCCCTTGTGGCTGCAGCTGAGGAGCGGTGGCCAGCCCTGTCTTTCCCGGGGGCCTCGCCTGCCACCGGCTACTTCTGCTCATGGTCCTCTGCCACAGCAGCGACCTCAATAGTAGCCGTGTGTTCCTCGGGCCCCGGGGCAGTCCCCGTAGGCACTGTCACAATGGTGCTGCCCCCAGGCGATGTCTGTGCCACGTTCTGCAGGGCGGGGCCCAAGCCAGGCAGCGTGAGCAGCTGCAGCGGGCTGACCACCTTGAACACTGTGCTGCCATCCTGCACGGCAGCCGTGCTCAGCACCGTGAGGCTGGATGCATCGGGGTGAATCTCTACCGTACTGGGGAAGGTGGAGCCTGAGGATGCCAGGACCGTGTAGCCCCCGAGCAGTGGGGAGGCTGGTGAGCTGGCAGGGGCCCCCTGGGGGGAGCCCTTGCCCAGGACGGTGGAGGGCAGGGTGGACACCACTTTCCCGAGTGGCACGCTGGTCAGCTGGGGGACGGGCACGCCCGGGCTGAGTGCAAGCTGGGCAGACTGGGTGAGCACCTGTGAGGCCACGGCAGCTGGTCCAGACGTGGCCCGCGCAAGCCGGGGCCGCTTCACGGGAGGAGGCAGGGAGACAGGCGTCAGCGTCATGAGCACATTGCTGAGGTGCTGGGACTTGTGCTTTAGCTCCTTGGCCCGGCGGCGATGCTCATCACACTGCTGCTCCAGGGCTGCGGAGGACAGAAGCATCACTGCAGGGGCCAGGGCCCAGGGACAGACCACATCACTGCAGGGGACAGGGATAGTGTCACTGCAGGGGACAGGGAGTACAGTGTCACCACAGGGGATGGGGTGGACAGTGTCATCTCAGGGACTGGGGGTGGACAGTGTCACCACAGGGGATGGGGGTGGACATGTCACTGCAGGGGATGGGGTGGACAGTGTCACTTCTGGGGATGGGGTAGACAGTGTCACTGCAGAGGACGGAGGTGGACAGTGTCACTGTAACGGTGGGAGATGAACAGAGATGGTGGTGGAGACGGAGACAGACTGTCACTGTGAGGGATGGGGGTAGAGACAGAACATCACTGCAGGGGATGGGGATGGACAGCATCACTACAGGACATGGGAGACACACGGTGTCACTGCAGGAGAAGAGAGTACAGATAGCATCACGGCAGGGGACAGGGATGAGCAGTACAACCGTAGGATATGGGGGACAGTGTCATTGCAGGGGACAAGGGGACACACGTACCGTCACTGGGTGGCCCTTGAGTCAGGGGCAACTCAGGTGTGCTTGCCTGACATAACCCAGATAGCCGCATAGCCATCTGCCAAAGTAGGGTCAGGGCAGGAGGCAGGACCCCTCAGATGGCACAGGGACAAACCAGGCCTGCATAGGATGTCCTATGCATCTGCCAGAGCTTCCTGTGAGCTTTCACATAGCCAGCCATAACATTTGTATGGAAAGTTGCTCGTGTGACTTATCAAGATAGAAAGCAAGAAAAACATATATGATAACTGTGTTTAAACACATGCAGTGGTGGCACATGCCGTTGTTTCAGCAATCTGGAAGGCTGAGGTGGAAGAATTGCCTGAGCCCAGCAGGTTGAGGCTATGGTGGCCAAGAGCATGCCACTGCACTCCAGTGCCACTCAATGCCACTGCAGTGACACTGCCCCCTCTCCTGCAGTGACACTGTCTCCCCATCCCCTGCAGTGACACTGTCCACCCATCCCCTGTGCAACACTGAAACTCGGACTAAAAAAAATAAAACAAAACAAATAAACACACACACATACCAGGACATACAGTAGGTACAGTCCCCAGGAAGAGCCTGAAGAAGATGGGCTGGCATCAGGCAGGTGCATGCCTGCTTGGGGGCAGCTGGCCTGTCCCACTTCTCTGCCATTTCCTCCTAAGTAATACTCGGGTCAGCACCAGTAAATAGAAGGGATGCCGCCTGCACTTTCTATGACAGTGGGTCTGACCACATCATTTCCTACGTGAGGGCTGTATCTTTACTTCCTTGACTTCGAGAAGAAGCTCTCCATCATAGGTGTGGCTCAGAGATCTGGACACAGGGCTGGGCGAGCATGGGCCCAGAAGCTCAGCCTTTGCCTACCTGCCAGGTCCCGTGCATACTGCTCCCGCGAGCGGTCCATCTGGCACTTGTGGCTGGCCAGCACCTTCTTCACCAGGTCCAGCATGCCAAAGTTCTGCACGATGTTGTTGAGGAGGATGGCATCTTAAAGAGCAGCACAGCACTCAGTGAGGACTGGGCCCTTTCCAGGGGACCAAACCCCAGGACAGGCCGGCTCCTTGGGAACCCAGGCCATGGGGAGCCCCACTCAGCAGAAGAGTTCAAGACACACGCAAGGGACCCTTCTGCCACCAGAAGCTCAGTGTCAGCTAGCTGAGGTCCTGGGTCCAGATTCAACAGTTTGGAGGGGCCCAGGGGGGAGGGCTCACTACCCCGCTCCCATGGATGCCACCTGGTCGCAGGGCAACACAGACCTCTCAAATTGGAGCTGCAGGGGAGGAGCCCAGGGGAGGGTTAACCATCCCACCCCCGTGGATGCCACATGGTTGGTGGGCAGACACAGACCCCTCAACTCAGAGCTGGAGGGGAGAAGCCTGGGGTGAGGGCTAACCACCCCAACCCCACAGATGCTACTTGTCAGAAGACACAGACACTTCACCTTGGAGTTGAAAGGGAGAAGCCCGGGGGAGGGTTAACCACCCTATCCCCAAAGATGTCACCTGTCAGAAGACACACACCCCTCACCTCGGAGCTGCAGGGGAGGGTCCTGAACCCGCTGCTGTAGGCCCTTCATGGTCTGCACCAGCTCCAGGTGGAACTCCTGTATGACCTCATCCAGCAGGCCAGCATCCTTCAGCCCCCGCCAGAAGGCAAACGTGTCATCTGCAAGGGAAGGAGAGGGCTCAGTGGGCAAGAAGAGCATCATTGCATGGAGTGGCCACAGGGGTGCAGAGCAAGGGAGAGCCACAAGAACGCCATGCAGGGGCATGGGCACCGCCTGGCATTGAGCTGGGCCTGCATTGCCCAGCTATGTCCACGGTGCCTAAGTCTAATGGGGTGGCACGGAGGTTAGCCTTGGAACACCCAGGATGATGGTGGCTGGAGCCCAACCTTTCTCCAAAAGGACCTCACTGGCCCCACCTGGATTCCTGAAGCCCATGTGGCCTGAGGCAGGCACAGACCCACCGCCCAGCCTGCATGCAAGAGAAGCCCACAGGGAGGGACGTTGTACCTCCAATGGCTGCAGTCCAGTCGCCAGGGTCCTCGCAGGTCTCTATGGTGATGGTCGCGGGGGACCCATTCACTGCAGCCAAAAGGGAACCGCAGTGAGTGCCGTGTGGATGGCAGCTCCAGACCCCACAGACCCGCTGGTCCTCCCATGCCATGTTCTGAACCTCCCTTTCCATCCACTTCCACGAAATCGACACAGTATATATGTTCACAGGAAGGGACTGGTCTCTCTCGCATCTTGAGTCTTTCTAATTAAGACGTCATCAAAACACAGAAAAACATGAAAACAACCCTGGGAACCCACTGCCCAGCTTCAACAACTCTCAGCATCTGTTCTCCTTGTGTTCATTCAATGGAGGGATGAGACGGGAGACCCCTGCCTGACTGGTGTTTCTATCTACAAGACTCTGGAAGGCTGTGGCTGGATCTGCCCCCAGAGCTCACCTTCATCTCATGACTGTGGGTGACCCTTCATGGGAGCCCCCACAAATCTTAGTGACTGTCTAGTTCTAGTCTTCTAAATCAGAAGAGGTGAGACTGAGAGAGAAAAACTATATTTTTCCTGGGGATCTCTGGTGCCTATAAAACTCAATGGTTTGTATAGCCTGTATCTCACCATTTTGGACAGTTTCTGATCAAGGTTTTATCCACAGACCTGGTTTTAAGAACAAGCCAGGGCCAGATGCAGTGGCTCACGTCTATAATCCCAGCACTCTGGGAAACCAAGATAGGAGGACTGCTTGAGCCCAGGAGTTAAGACCAGCCCAGGCAACATAGTGAGACTCCATCTCTACAAAAAACAAGAAAATTATCTGGTCATGGCATCATAGGCCTGTAGTCCCAGCTACTTGGGAGGCTGAAGCAGAGAAGGCTGAGGCTACAGTGAGCCGTGATTATGCCACCACACTCCAGCCTGGGGGACAGAGCAATACTCAAAGACAAATCAAAACCCAAAACAGGTAAAATGTTTTGGGAAACGTTTCAATCTTATGTGCCCTTTCCAGATTCATCAAAGACGTGTTAGGAACAGTAGTTCATGCCTATAGTCCTAGCACTTTGGGAGGCAAAGACAGGAGGATCACTTGAGCCCAGGAGTTCCAAGTCTAGCTTGGGCAACGTAGCAAGACCTGTCTCTACAAAAAAACAAAAAAATTAGTGGGGCATGGTGACACCTGTAGTCCCAGCTACTCAGGAGAAAGAGGCAGGAGGACTGCCTGAGCCCAGGAGGTAAAGGCTGCAGTGAGCCATGATTATACCACTGCATTCAAGCTTGGGCAACAGAGTGAGATCCTAACTTAAAAAAAAAGGGTATCGTGGTGGTAAGTATTATCATATCCTTGGAATGACGTGGGGCATGAACTGTTTTTCACCAACTGGGCTGACAAGACAATCTTTCACTAACTGCACAATAGCTAAGTCAGAGGTTCGTAGAGATTTCAGGACAAAGAAATTATAAGGAAAGTAAAATCTTAAGCCTGGGTTTGCCTTGTCGGGTGGAGTAGACTAGGCCTGCAGGACGCAGGGGCCCAACCCCCTCCCGAGGGATGGTGTCACTGGGCTCACTTTGTGCCAGTAACTTGGACTGACACTAGCCAGGCAGAGGGCTCTGGGAGGACAGACAGGAGGCTGGGCCTCAACCAAGTTGGGCCCAGGGGCACCCAACCCCCCCATCCACTGCCTCATGCTCCACAGGCCTACGGGGGGGCTCTGCCCTGGCCACCCCACCCCTGCCTGTGGCTCTGGCCTAGGGGAGCCAAGCAATGACATGCTCCCTCGCTGTGAACCAACCACCAACTAAAGCAAGGGCCAATCAAGGCCAGCCCCTCTGACCATGGCAGCTGAGCGTCCTGGGCTTCTCAGGAGGACTTGGCACTATATCTGCTGGCCTACTCCTGCCAGGCTTAGGAAAGGATGTGGGGAGAAGGGTGGGGCCTTCTGGCCGCCCTGGCCTCACTCTCCTCCCCAGCGAGGATGGGACAAGGGCTCAGCGGCCCTCTTCTGAGTCAGTGACAAACAGTGATGTCCCTGGTCATAGCAGCACACTCCAGCCAACACCACGGAGAGACAGTTTAGAGACAATGCAAGTGGCATTGCTGGAAACACAACATTGCCAAAGATCACCCAGTAACCTGACCAGGGAATTCGGGCCCTAACTTCATGCTAACTTCAGTTTCAAAAAGGATTCCTCTACTTATAAGGCTAGAAAGAATTCCAGGAACTAATCCTCCTACAATTCAGAGCTACAGAGATTGACATGGAGAATGCCATAAAGTGTCACTCAAAGTCGAGGTAGCAGGGAATATGCATGGCAAAGAAGGTGGGAGAGAAGACCTGCGCAGCGTGTGAGGAAGTGGCTCCAGATTCGGGGCAGGGGAGGTGGCCTGGAGGCCCAGGGGCTCCCTCTATCGGCGCTATACCCTTCCTCATGAATTAGGGAATCTCTGACAACGAACAGGCTAACACCGAGAAGTGCTTCCATCTTCCCTATCAAGGAGAACAGCGATTTGACCAGACCTCCTGTGAGGATGGAGGCAGCTGACCCCACTCGCAGGTCCCAATGCAGGGGCCAGGGAGGCCATCATGGGGCATGTCCACCTCTGTAGCCACAGTGTGGGGCTGGGTCAGGGCAGGCCATGCTGGCCCACAAGATGGATGGCCCTGTACCTACCATCAGCAGTGGCAGGTGTGAGCGGGATGTACTCAGCAGACGTCGGGCTGCTCAGGGACACGCGGGCTCCCGAGAGGTCAATCTTGGTGCTGCGGCAGGTATTGGAGCAGACCTTGTCATGCTGGTAGAAGTCTAGCTCCCCAGAGTCCATGATCTTCCTGTGAGAGGACGGGGCCGGGGCATCCAGGTGAGCCCAAGTGCCAAAGATGCCCAGTCCACCTGTCCCAATCTGGGCCATCGCCTGCGTGGGGGCAGTCCCCACAGTGGTGCTGACCACAGCTGGGCTCTGCTGTGCGGGGTAGGCTCTGCTCTCCTCCCAGCACAGGCTGTGTGCATGGGAACCCACTCCCCTCAGAGAGGCTGACCCAGGCAGCGGCTCTGTCCACAGGAGGAGCACGAGGGCCCTGGCAGGTGGGCACCTAGAGATGCCCACTCAATGCTATGGTGCTGGGTCCTTCCAGGATGTTCTCTGCCACGGTCCCATGGGAGCGACCACAACTAAGGCAGGTAGGCCGGGTCCCCTGCATTGAGTCTGAGGTGTGCTGAAGCAGGGAGAGGTGAGAAGCCACTTCCAGGAGCCTCATCCCTCCCAGAGGCAGGCAATGAAGGAGACAACAAGGGCATGGGCACTGCTCGCCCTCCCCTTACCAGGAAGGCACTATAAGCGCCCTGCCGGAGCTGCCTTCCAGGCCCTGCTCTCCAGCCCCTCCCAGAGATCCAGGATCTCAGGCCCTCCTGCATGTCTCAAGGAGCTGCCTTAGCCAGTGAAAGGAGGCTGAGTGGCCTTTGGGCAGCGCTGGCCTCAGGTACATGCCAGGCTGGTGCTTCTGCATGAGGCTCAGGACCCACCTCCCCAGCCAGTGGTCTCCACAGCTGTGCCACCAGCCATGTTTTAGAAAATGAGAAGCCAGCTCAGTAGGTCAGGGCCTGGGCTGTGGGAAAGGACCTGGGGCCAGTTACTCCTGAGGCCCATAAGTGAGGTGGAGGCCAGGCCCACAAAGACCGAGACTGTGGCTTGTGGCTCACAAAGAAAGGGAGCCAGAGAGCTGGCTGTGGTAACAAGCCTGTAATACCAGCCACTCGGGAGGCTGAGGCAGGAGGATAGCTTGGGCCCAGGAATTTGAGGCTGCAGTGAGCTAGGATCACGCCCTTGCACTCCAGTCTGGGCCACAGAGTGAGACCCTGTCTCTAAAAGAAAAAATTAAAAACACCAGCATAATTGTTCACCAATGGTCTGTGCATGTTGCATGATAAAAAGGACAAAAATGAAGAAAGGCTACACGAAGAGATTAAACTTGGCTGCCAGTCTGATACACAAATGCCAGGTTATACCTTTGTCTGTTAATAATGAAACAGCTGCTGGTAACTCCAAGTAAAAAACTGTTGAAAATTAAAATTAGATTTGACAAAAGAGTTCTAAAAACCTGATCGCATCCTATGAGTAGGTGCAGCATCCGGGAGGCTGTCTACATGTACCATGTCTAAAATGTGCCTCACCTTCAAAATCCCAAAACCAAATGAAAAAGTACCGGTCACCATATCCCTTCCATGGGGAAGGACTCGTGGCACCAGCAACACTGCCCACAGGCCCACCTGAGCATGATGCCGTTCATGCGGATGGCTCGCTTCCAGTCCTTCAGGGTGGACTTCCCCGCCAGGTGCACGAACTCCTTCGGGCTGATCACGTGCTCATCATACTGTGGGGGGTATGGCAGGTCAGGCTGGCCAGAGTACCGTGCGGTGCCCTCCTCTCCTGCCCGACCCTGCATCAGGGTGTGTGGCAGGAATAGTGCCACAGAATTGACTGGACAGCCCCAGGTCTCCCTATAGCGCATTCTACAGTGTACTTGGGTAGAACAAGAATGTACCCCACAGGCTGTAGTAGGTGCAGCCTCCCCTCCAGCCGCAAGGGAGCAGCCACATGCCTGGGCTGGGCTCTGGGCAACTTATTCCATAAATGCCTACTACTGCATATGTGACACCGTAAGATGGTAACAGACACCACATGGGACTGAGCCATGAGCGAGCCCTTCACCAGGCCCTCCTAGCACACACGTTTCAGAGCCCCTTGCTCCGAACACACACAAGTTTCAAGGTCAGGGCGTGTGCTGTTGATTCAGTAGTCCTGGGGCTTGTGGATTTCACCCCTTGAGGGAGCCCCACAGCTTGTGGGTTTCACCTTGTTCACAAGCAACTATGGAAACCAAAGACTGAAAACAAAACTGCATCGACCTGGAAACTAGCAGGTTAGGGATGATGGCATCATGGGTCCCAGCAGGCCCAGCGGCTCCCTCTAAGACCTCGGCCTTGCTGCTGGGAGGGCTCACTGTTGTGAAGCTTGGCCTCTGCTCCAGCGCTGTGCCTGTCGTTCTGGCATTTCATTACCGGGTGACTAATGGTAAACTTCTTTCTTGTTTTTGACCCCTTTGATATAATTTCAAACTTATAGAACAACTGCAAGGATAGTCCAGGGAGCTCCAGCACGCCCATCCCGGATTCTCTGATGCTCACATCTGGTCCCTCACTTGCACCTGATATGTGTGGCACATCACTCTCCTCCTGACTATTGAGTGTCAGGGGTAGACGCCACGCCATATGCCCCTAGAACTGGCACAGACTTCCCAAGAACAAGTTATCTTACACAACCACAGAGCACTGCTCAAACTCAGGAAGTCATCATTTCTATGTTGTCTAATCCACAGTCCACATTCACAGTCACGAACTGTCCGAACAACAGCCTTTGACAATTGTTTCTGATGCAGGATCCAGTCCATGACCATGATGCAGTGGCTGTCTCGTGTCTCCAGTCCCTGTGCCCTCAGGATGGAGCAGCTTCTCAGTCTGTCCCATCTTTCTTCACATTGACGCTTCTGAAGCACATGGATCAGGTGTTTTGTGGACTGTCTCTCTCTTTTTTTTTTTTGAGTTGGAGTCTCACTTGGTCGCCCAGACTGGAGTGAAGTGGCCGCTCCCAGCCACTGCAGCCTTGCCTGCTGGGCTCCGGCGATCCTTCCACCTCAGCCTTCCGAGTAGCCGGAATTACAGACATGCGCTACCAAGCCCGGCTGATTTTTTGATTTACTGTAGAGATGAGGTCTCGCTGCCCAGGCGGGTCTCGAACCCATGGACTCAGGCAATCCACTCACCTCAGCCTCCCAAAGGCACAGGATTACTGGCTGAGCCATGGATCCCGGCTTGTGGACGCCTCTCAATTTGCATCGGCTGTTTCCTCATGAGTAGCGTCAGGCTGTGAATTTCTGGCAGAAGTCCCACAGACTCTAGTCATACTATCTCAGGAGGCCCAGGAGTGGTCTGAGGCGGATGGTGTGAATGTGGGTCACAGGTGAGGCACCTGTCAGCTACCCCTGCCTGTTTCCCAGGAGCCACTGTGGGTGTCACAGGATGCCCTGCTCCTCACCTAGTGGACACCTCCTGTAGCCCTGACACATCGCTCCTCGCAGCACATCACTGGGGTCTATGGTTAGAGCCACACTTCTCTCTTTGCGTTATTTAACATGAATAAACAACAGACGCACTGCAATAAATTTGGTTTTCCTTCAATTAAGTGATAATCCAGGCCTATCACTGTTTTGATGCTAAACTGTCCCGAATGGAAGCAGGGGTCTTCTTATCTGGCCTGGGGTCTGCCAGGGTCTTGCACTGGATTGCTGTCCCCTCGGCCATGAAAATTCTCAGCTTCTCTCTCTTCCTCCCAGAACTCAAACAGATGCGTTGACTGCCTCATGCTTCTGTGTTCCATCTTTTAATTTCTGTGGACTATATTCTGAACATCTCTTTAGTTCTATCTCCAGTTCACTGATTATCTCTCCAGCTATGTCTGATCTGCTGCAAGACTCATCCACTAAGTGCTTAATGTTAATCCTATTTTTCTAATAATGGTTTGATCAAATCTGCTTACGCTTTACTCATGTCCTCCTTTATTTCTTGAATTAAACATGACCATTTTATATTCTGTGCCTGAAAATCTGAAAGCCCGAGGCCATTGTGGGTATGACTACTGCTTGCTGCCCACTCGCTCGAGGCAGGCTTCCAGAGCGTCCAATGTTCTTGTCTGTTTCATTGTGAGCTGCTCCCTTCCTTAGAACTTTGTGAAAATTACTCAAAACCTGATATGAAGATGAATTCTTCCAAGAAGCATCTTTAGTTTGCTTCTTTCAGATTCCTGGAGAGCTGCTAGCCAGGAGTCACAACTTAACTCTCAGCTTGGGCTTTTGGACCACGCAGGCCACATAAGAATCCTCAAGATGGCATCCCCCTTCCCTGGGCAGGGGACAGGGTACAGCTGGGAGTACGCTGTTAGCAGCTCACCCTTTGGAGGTGCTGGCTTTAGAGGGCATAGTCCCTCCCCCCCGCAACCCACATGCCTTGGGGAAGCCTGGGCATCATCTTCCGACCTCTGGGTCCACAGGGTGAGAAGACCCAGCTCAGGCCCAGGCTGGACACACTGCTCTGTCCACTCTCCAGCCCTGCCACACTCAGGCCTGGGCCAGCGCATGGAGCACCTAGAAGGTGCTTTATGAAAATATCCTGACAGGCATTTTAACTGTTTCAGTACCAGGTAAGCCTGGGTACCTGATCTACCAAGTTGCCAGAAGCACGATCCCGCTCGTCTTACCCCTCACCACAGAGTCTCCCCCAAGCCCCTAGCATCCCCCTGCAGGTGAAGTCAGCACTTGGCCTGGGAAGGTGTAGCACCCACCAGGTGGCAGGAACTCCTCTTCCTGAAGCCTCCTCCATGATCCTGTCCCTGGGGACCCGCCTTCCAAAGGTCCCCAGCATAGCCATGCCCCGGTGCAGGAACAGGTGTGCCCACGAGGGCATCCCGCCCTGGGGCCCTGCATGCCACCTGTGCTTTTGTTCTGTCTGAACCCTCACCTGGACACATTTCACATTGATGCCAGGACACACAAACTTCCTCCAGATCAGGTTGGCCCTGCTGTCCCCGCAGGTGATGGGGTATACAACCTCAGCCTCCAGGCTCTCCCCCTCTTCAGCCATCTTCACTTCTCACAGGCGATTGACAGCAAAGGGCAAGAACAGAAAGCCAGTTATAACCTCTCCAAATCATGCCCTGCAAATGCCAAAAGCCACTGCCAACCCGGAAACCAAAAACTAAACCCAGGAAGGCCAAGGCAGAGCAAGGCGGCAGAACGTTCTCATCAGAATGGGTTAGAGTTTCAGGTAAATCCACAAAATGGACTTAACTAGAGTAACATTAATATAATTCCAGTAAACGATGATTAAACTAAAGAGCCACTTAGGGAAATAAAATCAAACTCTACTGAAAACAATTCTAGGGAAACTTAAGGTTTTGAAAGTTTTAGTGCCTTTAATCTTAGGCAACATGGCCGGGCTCGGTGGCTCAGCCTATAATCCCAGCACTTTGGGAGGCCGAGGCGAGTGGATTGCCTGAGCTCACGGGTTCGAGACCCGCCTAGGCAACTTGGCGAGACCTTGTCTCTACAATAAATCAAAAACTAGCTGGGTGTGGTAGCGCGCACCTGTAGTTCCAGCTACCTGGAAGGTTGAGGTGGAAGGATTGCCGGAGCCCAGCAGGTGGAGGCTGCGGTGGCCAGGAGCATGCCACTGCACTTCAGTCTGGGCTACAGAGTGAACTCCAACTCAAAAAAAAAAAAATCTTAGGCAACAAAAAAAATACCAAAGGTGTGGTAAGGAATTTTACTCCTGTTCACTGATAGTCATGACCAATAGGTGCAGAAACAGTGAGAGGAAAACCAGTCCAGAAGAGGAGAGCGCTGCAAGACTGAGGCAGCCTGCTCTGCTCTTCCTACCTATCAGGCAGGGGCTGAGCTTTCACCACAGACAATGACAGACCCTGCCAGGGGCCCCAGGCCTGGCTGCTCACTCTCCTAAGGGCATGTACTGGGGACGGCCGCACAAGGACCCTGGGGATCCCTGGCTGGTCCCCATATTGAGCACAGGACCATCTATCCCTGCCGTGGCAAGAAGGTGGCTTCCACCCAAGGCAGCTTCCTACCTAACACAGCTTCCTTGAGCTGGGAGGAGGCTGTGAAGGCAGCAGCAGCCGCGGCTGCTGCATTTTCTGTCTCCATGCTGTCTTCTGTCAGGTCGCCCCTGTGAAGAGTGAGGAAGAGAACGAGGACATCAGGATCCCAAGTCAAATCTGCAGTACACAGTGCATGCTACCACCCTGTTCATGACACCACTCCTGGCCAACCGGTGACACTTCTCCAGCTTAATTCAGAAATGGCAGAGGCTGCGCAGGTCATAGGCGCTCAAGAAAGCACACATTTTCTGTTTGGTTCACAGCTGTGCCGTGAGTGCCCAGAATAGCACCTGGCAAGCGAACCCAGTATGACGGATCTGTAGGAGCAACAGATGCTCAGGTAGGAAAGCTACACTTCCATTTCTGTCTTTAATAAAGTTTTTTTGGCCAGGTGTAGTAGCTCATGCCTGTATACAATTCCAGCACTACAGGCCAGGCACGGTGGCTCACACCTGTAATCCCAGCACTCTGGGAGTCGGAAGCAAGGGGATTGCCCGAGTCCAGAGGTTCGAGACCAGCTTGGGCAACTTGGCAAGACCCCATCTCTACAATAAATCAAAAAATTACTGGGGGTGGTGGTACACACCTATGGTTCCAACTACTTGGGAGGCTGAGCAGAAGGATTGCCTATGTCAAGTCTGTAGTGGTCGTAAGCTCAACACTACACTCCAGCCTAGCGACAGAGTAAGACTCCTACTAAAAACAAACAAACAAACAAACAAACAAAAATCCAGCTGGGTGCAGTGGCTCACACCTATCATCTCAGCACTTTGGGAAGCAGAGGTGAGAGGATTACCTGAGCCCACTAATTTGAGACCAGCCTAGACAATATGGTGAGAACTCATCTCTACAATAAATTTAAAAAATCAACTGGGTATGGTGGTGCATACCTAGTCCCAGCTACTTTGAAGGCTGAGGCAGAAGGATCACCTTAGCCCAGCAGGTCAAGGCTGCAGTGGCTGTGATAATGCCACTGCACTCCAGCCTGAGCAAAAAAGTGAGGCTCTGAGTCAAAAAAAAAAAAAAAAATTCCAACACTTCAGGAGACTGAGGTAGGAGGATTGCTTGAGCCTAGGAGTTTGAGACCAGCCTGGACAACATAGCAAAACCTCACCCCAAAAAACCAAAAGAATTAGCCAGGTGTGGTGAGGCACACCTATAGTCCCAGCTACTTGGGAGGCTGAGATGAAAAGATCACCTAAGCCCAGGAGGTTGAGGCCGTTGTGAGCCGTGATTGTCATGATAATGCTACTGCACTCTGGCCTGGGTGACAGAGTAAGACACTGACTCAAAGAAGGGAGGTAGGGAGGGAAAAAAAAGAAACTCTCAGAAAATACAAAATTTTAGAAAGAAAAAGAAATTACCAAGGCCCAAGCTCATCTTATATGAAAATAAATTACAGACAATTAAAAATACAAAGGTAAAAGATGAAACCATAAGAGAATTAAAAGGAAAAAAAAGGAAGATTTTTTTTGTTTTATTATGCCAAAGTGGTAAAGGGTTTTCTAAAATAAACCCAGAAATGTAAAAAAATAATTGTGCAGCCAGGCTCGGTGGCTCAGTCTGTAATCCCAGCACTTTGGGAGGCCAAGGCAAGTAGATTGCCTGAGCCCGAGGGTTTGAGACCAACCTGGACAACTTAGTGAGACCTCGTCTCTACAATAAATAAAAAATTAGCCGGGTGTGGTAGTGCGTGCCTGTAGTTCCAGCTACTTGGAAGGCTGAGGTGGAAGGATCGCTGGAGCCCAGCAGACCGACACTTGGGGTGTCCATGAGCATGCCACTATACTCCAGCCTGGGCTACGGAGTGAGACTCCAACTCAAAAAAAAAGAAAATAATTTAAAAATAACTTTGTCCTAAAAAGAATAAAAATGTTGGCGGGGGGGCCATTATAAACATTTAAGAAAATAGAGAACTTGTGGGGAAACACTTGTAGCAAGAGGGAGACAAGTGGCTGATCCCGTCATTCCCAGGGAGGCCCTGCAGGTCACATCAAAGCCCAACAGGAAACAGGCGGAGGCTACACCAGAGGCCTGGGAAATGCAAACAGGCACCAGACCAAGACACCATGCTCCCCTAGACAGCCCACAGGAGGGAAACATGGCCAGCAGGTGGCCAGGAGCCAGGGCCTGGCATGCAGGTGTGAGAGGCTGGATCTAGTGCCATGGATAATGCCTACATGGGGGTCTCTGTCCACAGCTTATGAATATGCCCTGACCCAGCACCTGTGCATCCTGCCAGCGAGGGCTCCCTGCATGAGGTGTGCTGTACAGACCCTCACTGTGAACTTCTGAACCAGGACACCTGCCTTTGGCTTCTGGCAGGGGAACTTGTGGATGGGCTGGGAAAGGTCTGGGCAGGGCTCTAGTGTGCATATGATTCATGTGTTTTACCCTTGGAGTTGTCTGCTTGAAAACACATGTGCTCTTGTGAAGCTTGTGGCTCCCCAGCTCCTCAGCAGTGCTGCACAGGCACTCAGTGGACAGAGGCCTGGCCACATCTCGGGACTGGGGCACGAAGCACACAGCCCTGACTTCCATGGTTCCCCCACCACCTGGAGGGACAAGGAGCCAGATCAATGGGACAGTTCAAGCCGGGCAGCACCCATTCTGGGGGAAGCTGGCATCTGGAAGGCAATTCTTGAGCTGACCCTGGAAATGTGAGAGCCTGTCCATGGCGAAGGGCAGAGCCCAGGACCTGCAGGAGTCTCTGTGAAGCAAGACATGTCTGGCTGGCAAAGCCTCACTGTAGGCTGGGGGTGAGGAGACCTTTGGATCTTTTTTTTTTTTTTGAATTGGAGTCTCACTCTTGTTGCCCAGGCTATAGTGCAGCGGCACGCTCATGGCCACCGCAGCCTCGACCTGCTGGGCTTAGGTGATCCTTCCACCTCAGCCTTCCAAGTAACTGTAACTACAGATGCACACCACCAAGTCTGGTTAGTTTTTGTGATATATTGTAGAGACGATAAAGGCTGGTCTCGAAGCCCAGCTTAGGCAATTCTCCCCCCTCAGCCTCCCAAAGTGCTGGGATTACAGGCTGAGCCACCGCGCCTGGCTGATCTTTGGACCTTTACAAGATAGATGTGTTCAGGTCTGCATTTCAGAAAGAACAGCAGGGTGGGATCAGGAAATGGGGCTGAAAAAGGAGGTGAGGAGCTGGACATAGTGGTGCCCATGGTCCCAGCCAACCGGGAGGCCAAGTGGGAGGATCCCTGAGCCCAAGAGGTAGAGAAAGCAGGTAAGATACAGAGACCCTGGGCAGGGAAGGTGCCTGGAGACCTGCTGGTTCTGAGCTGGGGGTGAAGCCAAGTCTGTGGGCCCAGAAAAGATGAGCAGGGAAGGGCGGGAAGAATGTGGGGCAAGTGTGGGACACCCAGTTGGCACCTTTCTGGGCAACTCTGGCCAGGGTGTAACCTGCACACAGCAGTGCTTAGGCCGAGGGCAGCTCTGGAGGCACCTGGGGTACTACTCGCACTGGCACCCAGAGGCAGCCCCCTCTTGGTCCCCATCTCTGGCCCCAAGGGGCAGCCAGTGGCCCAACTAGGTTTGCTGCTTTTGAACTTCATGTAAACTAAACCACAGGGCATGCCTTTTGGCTCCACCCCTCTTCTGCACGGCCTGCTGTGGAGTCCCCTGCCACCGTGAAGGCCGTGGCTCCTTCAGGCCTGTGGCTATATGATGCTCTGTTCTAACCATTCTGCAATCCACTACCTATTCCATGTGTATCCTTCAAGGTGAGTCTACAGCTCAGCAAACAGGCTCCAGTCCAGACCTGGGCATCATCAGCAAAGCCTTGGTTGGGCAGGGGCCCCAGGGAGAGGTAATGGGCATGCAGAGAGGTGGCCTGAAGTGCCAACATGCAGCAGCAGCAGAGCAGCAAGGACCCAGGAGGAAGCCCAAGAGAGGCACTGGAAACAGTGAGGTGTGTTCATGGTGCCACTTGTGACTGGATGTCAACTCATGGCTGGACAATACCCACAGATCTGCAGAGACCCTGAGAAGGACGGCGGGCACCAAGCAGGGCCTGGGGTGCAGGAAGGGGTGGCAGCAGAAGTTGGAGGTGCAGGAGAGAGGACAGGTTCCTTGGGATGGAGAAGAGGCTGTGGCTGCAGGGCCATGGGGGCGGCACTCAGCTCTGCAAACCACCCAGGACCCTGCAGCATTGTGCTAAGCCGCCTGCCCATGGCACGCCCTCTCCTAGTGCTGCACTGCCTGGAAGCCCCACTAACCTACCCCTCTCACGTTCAGAGCCACAGTGCAGCCTCTTGCTGGGTCTCCTCCAGCGGGCCTGGCGCCTGCTTCCTGGGAGGCATGAATGGACAGCTCAGAGGATGGTCCTGGAGCAGCAGACACACAGGAAGTCTGTCCCCTGTTTACCCATCTTCCTCCTCAAGTTCCTGAAGACATGTCCAGTGGCTTCACCACTCTCCAATTGTCAACACTGTATTTCACCTTCAACCATGTGAGAAACGGGAGTTGAAGGAAAGTACAAACTTGGAATCTGGTCTTTGGGACATACTGAGAATGACTCCTGCATGAAGAATCTGAGGGGAGACAGCAGAACTCCACAGGGGATGCGGGGGCTCAGAAAAGGAAGCTGTCTGTATGAGCTGTAACTCAGAAAGTAGAGGGCACGCTGATGGGGCATCATCATGGGCCCCACCCGACAGCCAGCCAGGACCCACTCCCAAGGGTGGGGAGGGAGGCAGGGAAGCCTCAACGAGCCAGAGCCATGGCTCATGAGACTAAGTCTACCAGGCCACATGCAAATGTGGGCCCAAGCTATGACCCAGAGACAGGCCTGAGGGCAGCAGAGGGTTGTGCAGACAGGGCACCACAGGCCCACCCCACGCTCCAGGCCAGCTGGCACCCACTTTGCTCAAAGTCACCTGTGGTCCTGAGGCACAGTCCAAGGGGAGAGTCCCTCCCAGGTTGAGGTCTGTGAGGCGTGACAAGCGTGTCAAGTGGCATGTGCAGTTCAAGCCTCATCTGAAAAGCACTCACTCTACTCAGAGCAGAGCTTGTGGGCGGCTGGTTGTCCCCATGAGACGGCACTCTTTGCCAGCACGTTGAGGGCAAGGTTAGGCAGCCCCAGAAGGCCCCGCAAGAAGGGGCACACTCAGGATCCCCCATGCCTAACAGGAGAAGTCAGCACCCACACAGCAACTAACTCGCTCTACTCCCCCATCTTCCCAGAAACAGGAGGCGAGACTAACTCTGGACTTCCCAACACGGGGTAACAGACACGTCCCTGCAAAGAAAAGACTCCTGGGGTAACAGACCCACCCTGCTGCCATATGCAGTCTTCTCAGAGGGAAGGTGCGTGGTCTCTCCTGGCCTCTCCCAGCCTCCCTGTTCCTCCATAGACCACTGGCCCCAAAGGGGCTTGCTTGAGGGGGCTTCAGCATCTGGCAAGGCAACCGTAGAATGAAACATCCCTCATCCTCTGTGGCTCACTCAGCAAGACTGGGGGCTATGTCCCATTCCCCACTTAACTCTAGGCCGACTTTCTGACCAGCATGACCGACACACTGCAGCCAGTCCTCTGAGGCCTTGGTTCCCCTCCTGTGGAGGGTGTTCAGTGGGAAAGGCCACATGCAGAGTGGTGGGCATCCCAGCCAAAGCCTAAGTGTATAGGTCTACTAGGGAGATACAATATGGGGCTGACCTATCCAGAGATCCTTCCACCCAGATGCCTAGTGGGTGACATGAAAGCTGGCTGGGACCACGGGCCCCTCACAACAGCTCCAGGTGCCAGGCGGAAGCCATGTGGCCTTCTCTGACAAGGGCCACTCTGCCACCCTGTACTTATCGCAGGCCATCCCAAATCTAAGACAGCACCTGGTCACCTCTTGGTGTGAGAGTGGGAGGTCACTACAGAGCACATAGGCAGGAGATGGCAGGAAGCATTACCTGTCCCCCAGTGCTGACAAAGACAAGAGGAACATTCAGCCATGAGGCCCCACTTGGAAATGCCGGCACTGACATGGATAGGTCATGAGTTGTCAGGAACCACCCAAGGCGAGCTGCGCTCTGAGGTCACACAAAGAGGCTGAAGTCCTGGGTCCAACACCAGAGTTGTGATGCAGGGAAAGGAGGGCAGGCCCAGTGAGCAGTAACCCCTACACACTGTGCTGAAGGGAGGCTGGTGCCTACTCGCAGGGGTCCAGCAGGTCTTGCCCCCATCTAGGGTCCTCCTCTCAGAAGGCCTCTGTCAGATGACAAGCCCAGGCTCTGTGACACATGGTCTATGGGAAGGCGCATAGGAGACTAGACCAACAGAAAGACCACCCAGCCCCAAGACAGACGCCCCAAGTCTCAAGAAGAAGCATGAGGACTCACAGCCACCCTTCTGCAGGGGCTGTCTGCAGCCTTCCTCTCACCCGGCAGGGGTACAGGTGATGATGGCTCATGGCAGAAACTGATCTGCTGGCCCCTGGCAGCTCTACCTATGAGGACAGCAAAAGGAAGCCAGCACCTGGGTTTTTCCTCCAACAAACATTTCAACTAACATTTGACTGGGACACCTGCTACAAGAGATGAGGAAGAAGACATTCAGTGTCATGAGAAATGTGAAGAGAATCCCTGGCACTGCAACTTCATTTCTGAAAATGCAGCTCCCAGTCACCTCACTGTTCATCTTGTATTTTAGGAAATGAAAGCACATGGTCGTAGACAATGAGTCCCTACAGTATGCAGGCAGACCTTCCAGTCCCTGTGCTGTTCCTGCTGTTGTCCACACACTCCTCAGAACATTCTGAGGCCATTCTCAGAACAACCAGAGACCCCATAACCTCTCACCCGTTAGCACCAGCTGCGTCATCTAGGGTCCCAGCAGGACTGCGGCCCATGCTTACCCATGAGAGGCCAAATTGGTCGTCACCAACACGGTCTTCACTCCCTCCACACCACTGCCATCGACTGCGGTGTCCGGAGTCGTCACAACCACCACCTCCTCCATGTGCACACTCACGTCGGGGGTCGCCATGGCTCACTGAAGAGGACACCCAGAGGCGTCAGTCCTCCCAGTCCAGGTCCTGAACAAAGCAAAGCAGGGCACAGGGTCACCGTGGTCTCCATGTCCATACCGCCAAATATTCACAAATGGTGCCTTTAAATATTGCCAAAAACCCTCTTTAAGAGGTCCCAGACTACCACCTCCTGATGAGAAACAGAGGGTTCTGAGAGTGGTACCTGCCCAACCCACACACCCTCCCCACCAATGAGCCAGGATTGCGAGCAGAACCCACATTGCTGCTCGGTCCATGAGGGCCTGTGTGGTGGTGGCATAGTGGGATGGAAGAAGACTGGGGTCCAGGAGCGACTCTTTGGAGGCAAGTTCTCTGGCTGTCACTTCTCCGTTGTCCCTCCTGGCCTTAACTGAGAACCAGGTGCAGATAGAAAGCATCCTGAGAGAGGTCCTCTCTCTAGTCCGAGGAGAAAGAGGGAAAAGCCACAAGAGACAGAGAGAGGGCAATGCCCTGGTTCGTTTTATTGTTACTATTTTGTCTTTGCTGGCTCTGCCCTCAGGGTAGAGGCTAGAACCCTATGATGGTGGCAGTAGCCCAGCCAGCACTGAAAACTCACAGTACTCTCTCTCACATACCATCTTCCATGCAGCATGGGGGGGGGCATGGAAGCACCCGGCTTAGGCAGAGGATAAGGTCTGGGGTCAGAACATGGGGATATGATGAGGGGGGCAAGATCACACACCTGTACACGAACACCTGGGTCATCTACGACCACTCACGTGTGGACCTGATATTAAACGGCAAGCCCAAGAGAACTGACCCACAGGGGAGCCCATCACCCAGGATTTGGCCTGGCCCCGATGGTGCCCACAGAGCAGATCCACAGAGCAGGCAGAGGCTGTCCACTGAACTGCCTAAGATCCCAGTCACAGGATTGGGTCCAAATTGCAGCCTGAACCTAACCAGGTGAGTTTTAGGCTACAACAAACACCTACATGATACTTAAGACCCAGAGTCTCATATCATAATATTCAAAGTATCCAGAACATAATCCAAAATTACCTGACATACAAAGAACCTAGAAAATTTGATTAATTCTTAAAAGAAAAAATAATAAAGAGCAGTCAGCTTTGAGATGATCACTGGAAACCACAAGGACTTCCAGTGCTACAGGCCAGGTCCAAGAGCAAAACAAAACTTCTCGAACCAAAGGAAAGGTCCTGCTATTGTGACAGAAGTTACAACCAAATGGAAATCTGAGAATTAAGACTATGATAACCAAATAATAACCAAATAAAAAATTAACCGGATGGGCCCTAGGCAGGATGGAGAGGACAGAGGGAAGAGGCAAGGAGCACAAAAACAATCCCAGAAAGTATCCAGTCAAGCCACAGAAAAAAGATGAGGAAAACATAACGAACAGAGCTTCTGGGAACAAGTAATGAACATGGAGAGCTGAGCCTTGGTGTGGTTGGAGTTCCAGCAGGAGAAGAAAAAGTACTAAGTGGGAAAAAAATGTGAAGAAAGAATAGCTGAACACTTCTCAAAGGTAGTGAAAGACATAAACATAGACATTGAAGAAGACTGGTAAACCTCAAACAGGATAAACTCAAAGAACCCCATGCCCAGAATGCAATCACATCACTGGCAACCAAAGACAAAGTGAGAAATCGTCAACAGGCAGGCGAAGATGTGTGCATTGCTACATGGAAACAGCTCAAATGACAGCAGCTTCACCCCAGAACACGGAGGCCAGAGGGAAGGAAACAACAGCCTCTGTACTGTAAGAAAATTAACTGCTAGCCAGGATCCCACTCCAGTGAAAGGTCCCTGAGAAACGGAGGAGGAAGGAGGACATTTTTAGGTGAAAGAAAATTAGAAAATTGTTCATAAACAGACCTGCTCTAAAAGAAATGTGAATTAAAGCTCTTCAGACAGAAGGGAAATTACACCAGAGGGAACCCGGAAACACAGGAATGCAGGAAGCACCATCAAGGCAGTGAGACAATAAGCTCTCTTCCTCTGAAGTTCTCTAAACAAACAAACCTCACAATATTGTCTGGCGGGGTTTCAGTGCATACGTGCAGACTTGACAACTACAACATGATGGGGGAGGGGGTCTCAGCAGCGGTGCTGCTTCTGCATTTCACATGATGTGGTAGAATATTATTCTAAGTAGGCTGTGAAAAATGAGGTCCTTCAAAAGGTGAATGGATACACAGACTATTTATATTCCAGAGATAAGAAGAAAAGAGCTATCAAGCCACGAAAGGACATGGAAGAAACTTAGACGCATGTTGCTAGCTGAAAGAAGCCAGTCTGACAAAGCTACATCTTGTACAATTCCAACTCTAGGATGTACCAGAAAAGGCAGAACTACCAAGACAGTGAAAGGTCAGTTGCTGACAGGGTGGGGCGAGGGGGACAGTGTGGACCGGAGATTCTTTAGGGCAGTGATGGGAACGCTGGAACGTCGGACACATGTCCCTGTGCACTTGCCCACACCCAGAGTGTATACCTAGAGTGAACCCTCATGGACACCACAGACTCCAGGCAATACTGAAGCATCTGAAGTGTCAATGTCAATTCGTGGATTTTAACAAATGCACTGCTCTGCAGGAAGCTGATGGTAGTGGAGGCTGGAGGAAGGGTATATGGAAACTCTGTATACTTTCTGCTCAATTTTACTGTGAACCTACAATTCTCTAAAACATAAAATCTATTCCATTTTTTAAAATTAAATATGTATGGCCAGGTGTGGTGTCTCAGTCTACAATCCCAGCACTTTGGTGGGCTGGGGTGGGAAAATGGCTTAAAGCCAGGAGTTTGTGAAAAATAAAGTATGCATATTACAATGAAATGAACGAAGAATATGATGGAGAGTGAAAAGACAAGGTAGACTAGAAGAAAATATTTGTAAATCACATATACAACACAGATCTTGTAACCAGAATATATAAAGAACAACAAAAAGAAAACAAACCACCCACTATTAAAAATGAACAGAAGATGTGGACACTTCACCAAAGAAGACATATGGATGAAAAATAAACACAGAAAAAGGTGTTCAGCACCATTAAAGCCTGGGGAAGTGTCAATTAAAGCCTCAATAACTTACTAACGCACACCTCCTGCGACAGCTTCAGAAGTCACATAACAAGCTGACAAGACCCAGCCCTGTACAGGTGTGGAGCACCCAGCCCTGTACAGGTGTGGAGCACCACGAACTCTCAAGCACTGATGGTGAGCAAGCACCATGGTGCACAAGCACCACGGTGCAGCCACTCTGGAAAATCGGAAGTTTCTTAGAAGGTTAAACATACTCTTACCCTATGACACAGCAATCCCACTCCTAAATATTTACCCTAGAGAAATAAAAACAAACCGGGCTCAGTGGCTCAGCCTGTAATCCTGCGCTTTCAGAGGCTGAGGTGAGTGGATTGCCTGAGCCCGCGGGTTCGAGACCCGCCCAGGCAACTTGGCGAGACCTCATCTCTACAATAAATCAAAAATTAGCCAGGCATGGTAGCGCGCACCTGTAGTTCCAGCTACTTGGAAGGCTGAGGCGGAAGGATTGCCGGAGCCCATCAGGTCGAGCCTGCAGTGGCCAGGAGGCCACTGCACTCCAGTCTGAGTGACAGAGTGAGACTCCAACTCAAAAAAAAAAAAAAAGAAAGAAATAAAAACATATGTCTACTTGAAAGATTGTACACAACTTCTTGTGGCAGCTTTATTCCCAACTGCCAAAAATTGGAAGCAATCCAAATGTCCTTGAGCAGGTGAATGGATGAACTGTGGTATAGCCACATGACAGACACTACTTGGCAGTGAAAGGAAGAAACTAAGACAGAAACCGAGGTGAATCTCCAGAGAATTACGCTGAGTGAGAAAAGCAATCCCAAAGGCTATGTTCTGTGGGAGCCCATTTATAGATAATTTTTTTCTTTTTGAGTTGGGGTTTCACTCGTCACCCAGGCTGGAATGCAGTGGCATGATCATGGCTCACCGTAGCCTCTACCTGTTGGGCTCAAGTGATTCTCCTGTCTCACCTCCTGAGTATCTGGGACAACAGGCACTACCACCACACCTGGCTAATTTTCTTGAATTTTTGTAGACATGGTATCATGTTGCCCAGGCTGGTCTTGAGCTCCTGGGCTCAAGCAATCCTCTTGCCTCGGCCTCTCAAGGAGTTAGGATTACAGGCGTGAGCTACCACGCCTAGACAAAAAATGAGGGGGGAACCCCCCCCCAAAAACAGAATTCCTTTTTGGAGAGCAGGCTCCTTGTAGCACAGGCTTCTCCCACTAGGTGATTGTTCTAGGAACCCATCGGCATCACTGTAACAGCTAGCATTGTTGTGAAGGCTGTATTTGGCTTCAGCGAATTTTTTTTTTAGAGTCCTTCAGCCCCCTTGCCTATTTCATAATGTGTAATTTACGAGTGCACCTGCCTACAATGCACTGAGTGGTCACCAGTTTTTGACCAAAAACAGCATGATGCCCATGTACCACCCTCCCTATTCACCCAATCTCACCTCAAGTGACTTTTTTATGTCTCCCTGGATGAAAAAAGTCCTCGAAGAAAAACGTTTGCCAGTGTGGCAAAGGTGAAACCAAAAATGGCAGAAGAACTAAAGGCATCAACATTGACGAGTTCAAAAACTGTTTTGAGCAGTGGAAAAAGCATCTCGATAGGTGCATTGCATCAAACAGAAAGGACTTAGAAGGCGAGTGAAATTTAAACATGTAAGAATAAACACAGAATTTTTAATAAATAAATTCCAGAGTTTTTTGGGTCCCCTCATATACAATATTTCCAAAACAGCATCACTGCAGTAATAGAGAACACATTGGTTGTTGTCAGGGATGGGGGAACATGATATAACTAAGGAAGGGGAGCATAGTGAGGTTTCCAGAGTGCCGGGGCTATTTTGCATTCTGAACGTGGGACAAGTACACAAATCCATATATGCATCAAAGTAAAGCAGCAATGTACCTTTTAAAAAGTTCATTTAGTTTTCAAAAGATTTTCAAATCTAAAATTGGCAAAAAAACAAAACAAAACTGCTA